ATTTAGCCTTGGTATTGGCATTATATTTAGCTGTAGGTACGGGTATATTTACCATTTCTAGCAAATTTTTTAGGACTGTTATTTAAATAGTTCAACACTGTCTCTGAAATACGAGCCATTTTGGTTGTCTAGGTTAGTTTAAGGTAAACGATTAACATAGTTATGGTGCACAGGTGGTGGCAAACCAATGAAGCCGAATAAGCTTACGGAATTAATCCCCCATAAATAAACTAAATTGCACTTGGTGGATTAACCAGCATAAGTGTTTTTTGCTAATCGAATATTAAGTCCTGCTCACTCGTCTTCTTTGATGAATGAAGTTATCTGAACACTCTTCAGTTGTTTAGAAAGCGTGTATTTAATAAAATATCTTCATTATTAGTTACTGCATTTATTGTCCAGTTTGAAAACTATATTTATGAGTTACAATTGATTAGTATTAGTAACCAAACCCTGCCTAAGGTCAGATTTATAAGAGAGCACTTACAGTAACGCTGCTAGTTATAAGCGTTAGTAAAACTTAACAACGAACGTAGAGGAAGTATGTCTCAATAGCGCTTTAATAAGGTAGTAGTGGGGTGTACTCATATATACATTCTTATGGCTGGCTATATCACGTGACCAGAATGAGTGATGGAAGGGCGCATCGAGAGCGCCGCAGGGGAAGTTTCCAGGGAAATGACTTTCACACCGAAAAATCCTATACTCTCCCTCCTGTACTCTATGAATGTTTCATACCCCTCTCTCCATATCCGTACTGTCTGATTTGTTGACAATGCCGTGTACCCCGGAATTAAGGATGCTCTAATAACCGTTATGGGAGCAATGTTTTTTGGGTACCCAAATTGTTGTATGTGTGTATAACAATGTAAGTAGTATGTTTTTGTGTATATTCTTTAGAGTTATACCTAAATAATAATGTTTATTTGTATTATGTGTATTCTTCTTGTATTGCCAAAATTGTGAATTTACGCGGTCCAACGGTGCAGTCATCGATCCACCTTTGTTACAGAATAAATCTTGCTCACGGTGAACTTTGAACGACGAATACGTACAAAGTGAACCGTGTGAACACGCGTAGCTTTTATCGCTAACACAAATCACATTTCTGTGACAAAAAGTGACATGATCAAACGGGGAGTTTCTTTTGTACAAAAGCAAAAGCATTAACGTACGCAGTGATAACAAAGCAAATCTATTTCTGTTCATGTGGCACAAGATGGCCCAGTTTCTAATAGAAAAATAAATTTTCAGGGCGTTGCATGCATTGTTTTGCCGACGTTACAAATATTGTACGATTTTTAAGTACTCGTTATGTACAAAGGATTTAGTATTTAATAGGCATCTAATATATATTTGCGTTTATAGATTGCGAGTTTGAACAGAAAGTCCTAAAAACTCAATAGGCACGCCAATCCTTATTGTCACGATCGCGTAATGAATCGGCGATCATGAAATACCGTTACGACGTAGATTCAGCCAGGCTCGAAATGCACAATGCAGTTGAATAATGCACCAACTAGCTAGAAGCATTGCAAGGCTGTCTCTAACTTTATCATATGCCTTACTGTACTTTAATACACTGACTATAAACTGCCCAGGACTAAATTCAATTGTGCAGTTACGTGCATGCATTGCAAATTATATAACATAGATAGAGAGCCTACTATGGGATTGGTGTGGGGTTATTCTTTTATAAACTTCATTTCAGTCACAGTATCATTACTATATGCAATAGCATTTGTAAGAAGTACGTAAATTCACAATATTTTAACATTGTCGCTACGTTTGCATTTAAAATGTCAACAAGGCAAAAGTTGTTGAGACTTGCCTAACAAACGATGTCAAATTTCCGTATAGAGAGAAAAGCCAGAGAAGAGTAGCGTAAACGACAAAACTCATTCAAGATTCATTTATCATGGCATCTCCGACCGCCTGAGCCGGAAAACGATCCTATTTATAAAGAACTACTGTCTGTTTATCTGTTTGTCATGATTTTACAAACGAGCTTTTAGCTCGAAGCAAAAATGTCTACCTAGTGGTTAATATCCAATATATAGTGTACCTAATATAAAGTAGTTTAATAGTATGTAAATAGATATATTTTTTTTGTTACTATAAGTTCAAACAGCAAAGGGTTTTAAATATAGTATATTTAGTAGCAGTAGAGCTCCTCAGAAAGAGTTCGTCCAGAGAAATACTGCCACCTCACCTTTTTCTGCCGCCAAGCAGTAATGTGAGCATTACTGTGTTCTGGTTTTAAAGGGTCAGGGTGCTGGTGAAATTACAGGCACATGAGACTTGTCAACTTTCTCAGGGTAACAGGCGCAGTGACATTGCCCCTCAAATCTTTGCGATTTAACGTTCTAAAACAGGCGCATACCTTATCATCATCAGGCGTACGACTTGTTCGTCCTGTCACTTCATATTATAAAAAAATTTTATAGAAAATCACTAGATTATCGAATAAATAAAGATAAAGAGACCGGTCAGAATAACAATTTTAATTTAGAAAGGAAACATAAGAGTGGGAGCATTCCAGTATCTTAACGAGTCAAGCAGCTACGTGATAAAGCGCGATTGTCTGTCTGCAAGGTATTGCGGCTACTACAATGGAGCTCAAAGTGATTGATATTCAGAATAAGATTTAACAGTTGGAGCTTTAAAGGTTTAAGAAAGTTAAGCGAATGCGGATCTTATTACTCTTTCGTCGTATGCAAGTTTAAACTTGGGAATTTAGAAGAGCGATCGGTAAAGTTGCTGATGTCGCAGGCAAAGCGGATTAAGTCCGCCAGCGTGCGGCCGCCCCAGCTTGCCTTCTGCTGCCCTGCATCAATAACTCGATTACTAGGGCTTGTTCGGATTCAGCTACGCTCCAGGGGTATTAGTTAGTGTTTATGAGGCTTGTTTTGCTGCAATGTACTTTGTCATTGCAAGCGCTTTAACGAAGTAGGTTACGATTGCGCACTGAACTTTTCGTGGTTTGTGGTTGGTTTAGTATTGACGCGACAACAACGACTGTATTTGCTAATACGTACTGTTATTTTATTTTTTGCATAAGCGCACTTCCCAGTTAGAATTTTACGTAAACTGTTTTCAAAAACAACTATGATACGTGTCATGTATTTTCTTATAGTACTGTAATAATTTGTTGTCTGGAAACAATGTTGAATTTACAATGTAAGGTCAGATTGAATTACACGTGGATATAAGTCGAGTTTCATCTCAACGTTTCTAATGGCAAAGCAAAAAGCTGGCAAATTGAGCGCAGATATTCACGAGACCCTTATCTCTGTGTAATGGAATGAATGGCATGTATAAATTGCCCCCTTGTACGTCTGCACCACCACTAACAATAGGTAATTGGAGGGGTGCCCCTCTCCCCATTAATTGATTGTTTGAGGAAGACACAAAACGTAGTTTTAGTAGCCAGATTACCGCACGATATTTACCACATCTTCGAATGCATAATCGAAAGGGCTTTTGGAAAGAATTACATAGCCTATTCACGATAATTTTATAATTAGAATTTCTTAGAAGAAATCGAGAGAATGTTTCATATATGTAGACATTCTGAAACTAAAAAGCTCTTTAAAAGAAGCCTCCTTACTCTTGGGAGTCGTCAATATTCGAGACTGAGGACCGAATCCATCTTTATTGAATTCAAAATCAAACATTTGTGCAAATTAAATCAAGTCAAATCAACAAAACTCTTATACGAATTTAAGAATTAAAGAATACCTAACAACATTTCATTCGGGGCAACTAGATATTACAGTATGCTAATTCCAAATTCGCCAGCTGTTTTGGAGTTCAATATTATGTCCTTGAAAGCGGAATATATTAATTTGTTTGATAGAATTTCTTTAAATGTAGAACTTTTACGAGTTGTTATATAGCATTATATAAAGTATAGCTTTATGAGCGAGCTTTTGTGCGTGAAAACGGCAGAATATTGTTCAGGACCTATACGTATATTTACTCGTATACTTCATTTGCTCGCAATTTTTTTTAATTTTTTTAAATTTATTATTCAAAATTACAACGTATTACTTATTACAAAAAGTCGCCAAACTGCTGTGCAGTTTGTTGGCGACATGTGCACTCTTACTTAATAATACCTACTTTACTATATTTAACATTATACAGTATTAATTGAACTACTAACTTATTAAATAAAAGATAAAGATTATTTTAAGAGGTACGCCTTTAACTTACGTTTTAGTGCATATTTACTTAATTTTGTATCATTTCTAAACCAATCAATGTCGTTATATATTTTTGGTTTAGTTCCAAAAATATATAGCGTGTACATCTTTTTCCATAATAATTATTTGCTTTAAACTGCACTAGTTTACCCTGCCTTACTCTTTTTGTCATGTACTTATTTTTAAGCCTAACTTTATAATTATCGTTATAGTAATTTTCCAACACTATCAAATACCTACTCTTAACTTCTATAGGCATGACCCTACACTAACTAAATAAGTCATTGTACTCTGTGTGATTACATTTTTCTATTACTTTTTTGCACACTAAATGTTTTATCAGACTAATTTGTAACTTTCTGATTCCTTTAAGATAACTAGCAAAGGTCCGACCATATACATTTAATCCATAGCTTATTAGCAAGTCTGCCAGCGCATAATACACCATATACAATGTTTTTTTATCCAATATACAATTTAAGTGAAAAAACCTACCAAGCATTTTATTTAATTTCATACACACTTCACTAACATGTATTTTCCAACTAAAATTACGTTGTATAATGAGACCTAAATATTTAAATTGTTCAACATATTCTAGATTAGTACTTTTTTTTTATAGTTCATTCTACGCCAAGCGTTAGAGTGAATAAACAAATAGACGATTAAAGTCGGTGGCTGCCATAATTCCCGTACAAACGTTACTAGTTGTTTTAATTAGCCAAAAGGCAACGCGCCAAAGTATTCGCGTGGAAAGCTCTCAGAGGAAACAAAGTCAAGTGGATATCTCACCAGTCACTGCATCCGACCGCCGCCGCCAGACACTGAAACAAGACAAAAAACATTTTAGATTTCCGTGCGCTAAAATGTTACGATTTCAACGGAGATTCATTTTTAAAAAATCTCAGATAGAATATGCCACTAGCGGTGGTTTGCTTTTGTGGTAATGACGAAAGTTAATGATCTATTGAATAAATATAGAAAGTAATATACTTGAGATTTTTGATGAGTTTAAGCTACTTTTTCATAATTTCGTTTGTAATGTCCACCATTATTCTCACATTTTCCTAATGTCTTTTAAAATGCCATGCGATCTAATTAGACGACTGTGGGCATGACAACAGGTAGCATATCCCTGTATCAATTTTGCGAATTTTTTAGTAACATTATTAACAAAACAGAAATAATTTTATTTTAGCCTACACTGTAGAAGATTTTACATGAAAATAAAGTGTCGATTGTTAGTTATATCACTATAACTCGACACGACTTGAGTTATACAAGCAGTCATAATTCTTTGCTGAAAATGTACAAAACAATATAATAATGTGGCCGACTGACTGTATAGCCTAATGTGTGATTAAATGTACGTAGCCAGGTAATATAATGAAGTAGGTATGTAAGAGCTGCAAGCGTAGGAGACAATTTGCCGTACTCTACATTGAGCAGTAAAGTGTTCTTTGTCGCCGCGAGTCAGTCGGAGTCCAACAATAGACGAGGAAGTTAATTAAGTGCGGCCGCGGCTCGCCGATGTCGAGTTTCATTTGCAATTCCGCTCTAACTCCACCACTCCACTGATACAACCGTACAAGAGTAATGTCTATAATAATTAAAACGGTCCTGGCGTAAAATGTAACGGTCTAGCGCGTCCCGCTCTTTGTTTTATTGATACAAGGTTTTATATTTCATTGCGGTCGTGTTATATCGGACTATTTTTCGTTATCTCGTACATTTGGCAGCATTCGAGTCACATTCATACGTTTCCAGGATAAACGTTACGCTTTGTTAACGACGTACATTTTAATATATACGTATAGAATATAACCCTACTGTAGTTATAGGTGAAACTTAATGCGCGCTATATTAGGAAGGCTACATAGACCCAGTAGTGGCGAATGGTCTATATAGCACACTTCCCATTGACTCCCTGAATATTATGCTGATGAACGACATTCTGTTATGCATTTATTTTGAACAAAACATAAAACTCCAAATTGGACTCTGGCAACATACCACATACTAAGCATCTGTCTTTTTCACTTCAATGAAACACATCTACATTCCTTTCCGATTTCATATGCCCAAAATGAATGTATTGCAAGCCGAAAATTACCGAGTTTTGATAAAAGTTGGAAAAATTAGCTACGCACGGATACAAGCGAGAAAGGTAAGTGGTTGATGTCGCGTCTCGGTTGGTGTTAATGAGTCGAAATTGAAAGATAATAAGAATACGACTTTGAGACTGAGAGAGTACCTACATTTTTAAAGAAAGTACCTAAAGTACTTACATTTCAGTTATTGTCAATTAGTGTAGTAAGTAATGAAAGCATATGTGCCAATTTCGTCGAGGCAAAAGATAGATAAATATGTAGCTTTGCAATATTTGCTGTGTGTCCCGTAGATCTTTTTTTAAATATAATATCAAGTGACGGGACGAGCAAGTCGTGCGCCTGATGGTAAGGTATACGCGTGTCCATAACAGAGCTTTAAATTGCAAAAATCTGAGGGGCACTGCCACTGCGCCCGACACCCTGAGACATAAGTTGACAAGCACCATTACCCTTCAAAATCGGAATACAGTAATGCTCGCATTACTGCTTGGCGGTAGTAATAGGTAAGGTGACAGTATTTCCCGGGACGAACTCTTTCACAAGAAGCTCTACTGCTACTAAAGTAAGCAGTCTTTGTTACTGGTACCCAGGGAACATGATCTCTTGTCTATATTTTGTGTTATTAATTATTCCCATCTTACATAATAAGCTCGCCGTAAAACGACTGTGTATGATAGAGACTTTGTATGATTATGCATTAATAGAAAACATGGATGCTTGATGATAATAAAATCACGGTCGGAGTCGTGACGTGTTTGATAACGGAGACATCTATCAAATTGGTCACAGGTGGCGGATGGAGTACAGCGTGCCGTCTGATTTAGCGTGACGAGCTATGACTGCCTCAGATTGCATTCGTCGAATGCTTCACTCCGAACATCGTGACGATATTGTCGCTGAATGTAATGTATGACTATTATGATCCCTATTAATAATTTTAAAATTGTAAATTAAAGCTCCGTGTTTAATAGAATCGTACATATTTTGTAGAGTAATATAATAGGACACATTAGAAAGTTGAGTGAATTCTTTTACGTACAAGTCGCGCCAAAAAATGGTTCACACACACGTAGCTGATTTTCTTGAACGTAGAAGGTTTATACGCGAACATTAGGTGAATATTATAAATTATGTGGAGCTATTTATCGTGGATTGCAATGGTCGGGGTGGCTGCGGGTGCGGTTGTGGCAACGGCAATCAATCATTAAGCGACAGTGCCAGCTGCCGCGTGTCATTTGCATAATCGAGGCTTGGCCACCCAAATAGAACAACGAATCATTCGCCTCATCATCGATGAGGTTATCTGTTCTAAACTGATTAAGACTAGTGCTCCTGTTATTTTTTCCTGATTATTTATTTTACTATTGCGGCTTTGATAGTGTATTTTTTTATGTGGAGCTATTTGCATGTATTGCCTCTCACTTGAGACTGGTGTAGTTTCCAGGTCGTGGAAGCTTGCAAACGTGCAACCTGTGCAAGACTATGGAACGTGTACTCAACAACCGTCTCCTCTCGTACATTGAAGACAACAACCTCCTCAGTGATCGCCAGTACGGATTCTTTGGAATTGGATCTCGGATTTCTTGTGTGAACCTTCCATTCGAGTGGTCTTTGAAGGCTACTCTTCCGAACATCGGGCGATAGTGCCGGAATTCCTCAAGGTTCCGTACTGTCTGCAACACTCTTTCTGCTGCATATAAATGATATATTGATTCCAGGTACCTTTGGGTATGCTGATGACAGCACAGTTGTAGATAGGTACTTGATCAATGCCACAGGGTCAGTGGAGAGGAAATCCAGTCTTGTCGAGAGTCTATGGTTAGCCGTTTGGATTTGACACTCAAGGCAGTCTACGATTGGGGCGATGCCAATCTTGTCAAATTTCATGCTTAGGAAATGAAACTATTTTTCCAGATTTACCTTGACTGCCACCCTGAACTTGAACCTTGAACCTTGGATTCAATTGACAAGCGTGTCAAGAGGACTCGGAATTAGTAGTAGAGGCGAAGCTGCAGAGCCTTGAACACAGCAGTTAAGTTGCCTGCTTATCGGTATTTTACAAGATATATCACGGAGAGTGTGCGATGGAATTACACTATTTCATTCCGCTTTCTCCTTTCCATCATCGGGGGACTAGGCGTAGGCTTGGATTCCACGTCTATGTTGTGGATATTCCAAAGAGTAGCACGAAGCGTTACGCTTCCACATTTATGTGGAAGCTATGGAGTGGAATTCCCTGCCTGTAGACTTGTTCTCTGAACGTTATAACTTGGACCTTTTCAAGGCGAGAGTGAATAGGCATTATTTAGATGTGCATGCTCCATCGTCGACGTCACCGTTACTTACCATCAGGTGAGATGGAGGTCAAATGCACATTTACATTTAAATAAAAAAAAAAATGGTCATGCACGGCTTCATGCTGAATTTCAATTAGGTTAATTTAGAGAAAAACAAGTGGCTTCGATTACATATATGGTAAACTGCATATTTAAATCAAGATATTATGGAGAATCGTGACAACCACAACTTTAACACGCCATTAGTTCCATCGCGCCACCGCTAGATGGCATTAGTTGCACTCTGAAACGCGCTATCGTTTTGTTAACTCTAATAGTCATCTGATAGGTTTGGTAATGTGGATCCCCTACAACGTACATCGAGGCATAGGCATGTCGGTTCAACTTCACCGGCCTCCAACCGGTCACCCTCATTTCGGCCTACCTGTTCTCTGATACTTCCCAATCGCTAATTCGCGAAGATCTGCAAGCCCTCTTGTCCCTAGGAGATTCTGTAATTCTGACTGGCGACCTTAACGCCAAAAATACTGCATGGAATTGTAACACCACCAACCCGCGCGGTAACACGCTCATGATACTATCCGAATCCATGCATTTCGATATAATTGCACCACTATCCGCATAACGTAAGTTACCGCCCCAACATCGTAGACGTAGCTTTATTCAAAAATATTAGATTAGACCTTAGATTAGACTCAATCCAGGTCGTTCATGACTTAGTTTCGGATCACCGCCGTGTCCTCCTTCACCTCTCCCCTCGTTCGGACATAGCCCCCCGTGACCCTTGCGCCCCCGTTAAATCAGTGTTGGACTGGGGGAAGTTGAGTCATGACCTCGATTCCCTCGAGTCTGAACACCTAGTTCAGATTCCAGACGAGATTTCTTCAGTCGTAGACGCCAACTGTGCTATTGACCGTCTAGAGGAACACATACAAACCGCCGTTTGTAACAGCTCCCGGCCGGCACCGGCGACAGACGACTGTCGCTGGAACCTACCGGAGGATGTGCGTGCCCTTCTAACGGAAAAGAACGCAGCCACTCGTGCTTACGACTTTTACCTCACCGACTAAAACCGTCGTTTCCTGCGGGCTTTATAGAGGGACGTAAAGACGCGTATGGACGAGGTACGTCAAAGTCGATGGGAAAAGCTCCTAGAAGGGCTCGAGCCCACTCACCAAGCCTTCTGGCAACTAACCCGTTCGTTGTGACTCAAGTCCGGCACAGTTGCCCCCCCTTAACCGACCCAACCACACCCCAGCGTTTGACGACAAGGAAAATGCCGAATGCCTGGCCGACAGCCTCGAAGCCCAGTGCTCCCCCAGTCTAGAGCCGGTCGACCCGACCCACCTCCTCCAGGTGGACTCCGAGGTCCAACTCAGAGCAACCCTCCCGCCCTTCGACCCTCCTCTCCCCCCG